CTCCATCATAGATTAATAAATCAAACGAAATGGTGCGCAATCCCACAATAAACACGGTCAAACATCACACTATATCACTCATAATGCATGAAAATAATGATGAACATCAACTGTCGGCATTATATTATCGTTGTTTTATATTCACGCTTTTATTTGTATGGATCGAAATTTAATGGAGAGATTGAGGTGTGAAAGTAAATGAGAAGAAAGATTATTTAAATGCTTTATGTTTCGTATGGACAGAAATTTAATGTGGAGTGAGGCGTGTATTATCTCTTATATATGGATAGAAAATTGAAGAACAATGACCGAAATTTTGTGCGAAAAATATGTGGAAAGATATATTAGAAATCGTGAGTTATCTCTTATTGGAGTTATTCAATTCCAATAATCTCTCATTATTCAAAATTTGAATTCAAATATGACTTTTCTTTTGGATGCCCCATTTTAATCTCTTGTCTTAATGTAGGATTTAAAGAATTCTAAAAATAGAATGTCAAACTTCTTATTTTTCTGATCAAAGTTTCTAAAAAAGTTAATTCCAACAACATTTGTATATATAGATAGATATTATTTTGTTTCTTTCCTACTAATTAAGATAAGATGACTGATTTTGAAAAAGCTCCATATAGGAGCATTTTAAAAAGATAAATTTTTAAATAATATTTAATATAATATTTTTGGCATGGATTGTTTACCAACCGATAATTCCGCTATCAACTATTCGCTATTCAACTCAGTCAAGCCGAACAATGTCAATACAAAATATATAAGTTGTTGCGAGAGAGTTTTGTGGGACGGGTCATCACACACTATTTAAATGAAGATAAATATTTATATATCAAATACCATATATATATTTCTATTGTTTATGAAATAATTTTTTTTAATAAAAGTACGCACATTTATAGAAATAGTATGTCAAATATATGTATATAATATAGTATACAAATCCTTGTGTGATGCAGCATTATCGTCAGTCGAGTTGACTCGTCATAGTATTTGAAGGTTGGTCCAAACTTTGTTCTGGTTCCAGTGATGTCGGTTGACACCTCAATTGTACCCTTTGAAATTTTTAGTTATCATTTGAAAAAAAAAAAAAAATCATATATTGTTAACAAATATGTATACTTCTTGATTTCAATGTTGTATGTATTTTTGTTATCAAGTAGACTCAAACAAAAATTTATATATTTAAAACACAAACGGTTGTGCATGGCGGACCCATCATATTTTATGTCGAAAACCACATACTTGCAAGTTGCACTAAATAAACGTAAATAAATATGTTGGTCTGATGTTAGACTCGAATTACACAATTATTCGAAAAATATATTATTCAAATTGAGTGAGAGATTCATTGCGACTCTGCATCTTCTTTCTCTGAGTAGCACGCACACACCCCCCCTCGCACTTTCCATTTCCCAACAACAAGCCCACGACCTCTCTCATTCTCTCTCTCTCTCTCTCTCTCTCTCTCTCTCTCTCTCTCTCTCTCTCTCTCTCTCTCTCTCTCACACACACACACACACACACACACACACACAGTATTGCAGGTAATCACTACAACAAAGCGACAATTCTTCTGAAAAATGAAAACCCTTTGAAATCTTGTAAATCCGCTCTTCATCTCCAATTTTCCGTTGAACCCAAGAGCTCGATCGCTTTGTTTTCTTGTTCTATTGTTCTTTTCTGTGCAGCCCTCCATCTTATTCACTTAATTTTGTTAAAAAAAATCAGTCTTTTTTAACAAACCATCGGAGGCTTTTTGTCGGAGTCCGAGGATTTTCAGTGACGTCGCCTCCGCCGGTAAAATGCTCAAATTTTGTTATCTGTTTCATTTTTGTTGTTTTTTATGTGGTCAGAATATGTATTTTGTCACCAAGTTCCGACCTTTGAAAGTTTTCTTGTTGTGTGGGTTTAGGAAGCATAAGTGGTTGAAAAGGTGACAGTGGGAAAAAAAAAAATGGGTTCATTAGACTCTGATGAAAGATTTATTTCCAAAAGCTTGCCCATTCCCCAACTGGTCGAACATATCAGGTACTCGTTCCTCGAACGAGATTTTGTGGGGGTCCAGAATGCCCTAATCGAGCGAGAGAATGACTTGAAAATGGAGATTGAAAGTCTCGTCTTAGAACGCGATTCGGCTAAGAAGGAGGTCCGTCTGGTCGAGAGAAGTATGGAGTTAATCGAGAGGTTGAAATTTGAGGATAAAGTGAAGAAAAGCCATAACAAGTGCAAGAAGCTGGAAGAGAGTGTTGTCCAGCTGGTTGAGAAAAATCTAGAGTTGAAGAATCACGAGAAAAGAGCCGAGGAGGAGCGTGACAGGATTTTTGCCGACAATATGAAGTTGGTGATCGAAAAGAACGAGTTGGTGTGTGAGTTGAACAAGAAGGTTAATGAGCTCAAGAGCAAGAGCTTGGAAAATGAGGAGAATAGTAAATCTCTTGATACAATGAAAGCTAAAATGGGCAGAGCGATCCAGGAGTTGGAGAAAGAGAAATCGGGAGCGTTGAAGACTGTGAGTGAATTGAAGGGGAAAGTCTATGAGTCGAATAGGACGATTGCCGAGTTGACCGTGAAGGTTAATGAGCTGAAGAGAAGAAATTCCGAAAGTGAGGAGTTGGCCAGAGCTAGTGATGAGAAATGTAAATCTCTCAATACATTGGTGGCGAAAATGGGCCAAGAAATTGATGTGTTGAAGAAAGAGAAATCGGGAGCTTCAAAGACCATTGTGGAATTGAAGGGAAAGGTCTGTGAGTTGAATATGACGATCGCTGAGTCAACTGGGAGGCTTAATGAGCTGAAGAGAAAAAATTCCGAAAATGAGCAGAAATGTAAATCTCTTGATACACTTGTGGCGAAAATCGGCCAAGAAATTGAGGATTTGAAGAAAGAGAAATCGGGAGCTTCAAAGACCATTGTTGAATTGAAGGGAAAGGTCTGTGAGTTGAATATGACGATCGCTGAGTCAACTGGGAGGCTTAATGAGCTGAAGAGAAAAAATTCCGAAAATGAGCAGAAATGTAAATCTCTTGATACACTTGTGGCGAAAATCGGCCAAGAAATTGAGGATTTGAAGAAAGAGAAATCGGGAGCTTCAAAGACCATTGTTGAATTGAAGGGAAAGGTCTGTGAGTCGAATAGGACGATCGCCGAGTTGACTGGAAGGCTTAATGAGCTGAAGAAAAAAAATTCCGAAAATGAGCAGAAATGTAAATCTCTGGATACACTGGTGGCCAAAATGGGCCAAGAAATTGGGGATTTGAAGAAAGAGAAATCGGGAGCTTCAAAGACCATTGTCGAATTGAATGGGGCAATTGTCGAGGCAAACAGGACAGTAAATGACTTGAAGGTGAAGAAATCGAAGTCCGATGAGGTGGTTGAGCTGTACAGGAAACAGATCGAGGATTTGTGTATGAAAATCCAGAAAAATAATGAGGTGGCTGAGGAGAGGGGGAATTTGAATTTTCAAGAATCTAGGGGTAAAACCGGAAGCTTGGGAAATGGGAATGGAGATGGAAGTAGAAGCTGTGGCTCGTTGAAGAAAGGTACTTATAAGTTTTGGTTTTCGTCGAATGTGTATTTGTATGTTGTTCTCTTATCTCATATATAATCTTTGTTGTCAGTACTAATATTCAGTGCTGAATAGTTGGAAAAGATCAGACCTTCAATAGTTAATATACAATACAAGATTCTTATTACTCCGAATTTAGTTTTACCAAATACGAGCTTTGATGTCAATTTAATTCCATTTAGATAAAAATGGAAATTCTCTTGTTTGCCTAATTTTGGGCCTGTATCAGGCTACAGAATCTTTATTTATTAATCCTGATATAGTGGCACGTGTAATTGAAAATGTACTTACTTAAGGCTCGTTTCAGCTATACATTTTTACGCAAGAGATTTTTTTCGCCATAATAGTAACATGTCTGATGTATGGCTGCAGGCTGTACAAGCTTAGTTAAGTGTTCGACTGGAGAGAATGTTGCAAGTATGGTAAAAACTCCTGGTTTACCTTCGGGTCAAAATCCCACTCGAATGGAAACTAGCAAGGGTAAGAAGCAACTTGATTCAGGTATGGGAAGTAATTGTGTGAATGGGCTCAATACTTTATATTTTTTGCTCAGTTTACTCATATTGAGCTTTACCAACTTTTGTCGGCCGTAGTTTTTTTATCAGAGTTGTGATATGCATGTAATTCTGGCATTTCCGTTAGCTTTGATGATTCGATTAGTGCAATGCATTAATTATTTGAACTAAGACTTTGATTTTAGTTAATGAATCAGTGAAAATGAGTTTAATGCCCCTACAATTTCTTTTGCTTTTATTTTTATTCTCTCTTTTCTTTTTCTTGTTCTGTTTTTGGAATCTAAAGCTGCTTATAATTGTAGAAGACAGGCTTGGATCTGCACATTTTTATAATAATTTAGAAGTAAAAAGGGTAAAAGAAAGACTTAACTAAGTCCTGTGTCTTAAATGAGGTTCATAGTTTTAAGTTAGAAAACTATGAGAGCTATGATTGGTAGCTGATAGCTTTTAAGTGAATTCTGAGCTTATAACTGATACTTAAGGCTGAAAATCTAGATACAAGTGTTTGGTAAAATTAGCTGATACGTTAGTTGAAATAAAATTTTCAATGGACTTAGTTGAAAAGCTACCCAATGAAGCTTATGAGATAAAATTGAGCTTTTTTAAAAAAGCTCGTCCTACCAAACCAAGCTTATTTGAATACATGAAGCTTATAATAAGCTAATCAAATAAGCTAGAACCTAGATTATATGCTTACCAAACACAACCTTAGTCTTGCATTAAGTATATTAGTCATGCAATAAGTATATTAATCGTGCAATTTCCCATTTACTATTACCAACATCTTTTTGCACGTAACATAAAAAAAGATTTATATAAGGTAACATTGCTTACCAAACACAACCTTAGTCATGCATTACGTACATGCATGTTATTTTGCAGGCTCACATGCTAGCAACGCGCGGTCATTGACCAAAAGAGAGTATTTGAGTAGTATAGTTTATCCGCCTGTATCAGCCAGAAATGTTATCGAGCTATCAGACAGCGATGATGAAGAAAATCAAACGAATCCGAAAGGGTCAAACGAGGCAAATCCCGAGCAAAATTCATGCAAGAGGATATGGTCGGATTTTATGGGGAAATTAATTGTGAATTCGACTAATGGGCGGAGCAAGAATGCACGTGTTAGCCATGAGAAGGAAAACGGTGTTTTAAAATCGACGGTCGAACCAAAAAGTGATTCTCGAACACCTCACAAGAAACTTCGATTAATCAATGGGGATTCGAGTGGTTCGGATGGCTCGTGCACGGACAAGAAAATCGAGGCCTTTGTTGCATCCTTCAGGAAGTAAAATAGAAAAAAAATAATAATAATAATACAAGAAAAAATAAGGGAAATGGTTAGTTTGACAAGTGATGGGAACTTTGGTGTCAACTGCTTTTTCATTATGAGTATTTTAGATGGATAGACAGTGTTTTTGGATAGTACCCTTCTGGGATTGTATAATATATTGGCAAGAAGTGTTATTGGATAGTAATTTGTGGCTATGTTAGCTAAAAATTAGGTTTTGTTCCAGATATTCTTACATGTAGTTAAAAAAATCCACTGAGGCATTATCCGAGTTTATGGTTTGATCAGCAGATACTCGTGCAAATACTTGGTGCTTTGATGGATAGCCACCGGGTTGGTGCTATGCGAGAAACGCGTTGGTTATCTTTGGCTTCTCTGCCGGAGGGAGTGTTAAAGGTGAACACAGATGGTAGTTTTAACCCGTCGACGGGGATGACTAGTGCAGGGGGTCATTCGGGATCACCTTGGGTGTTGGGTCAGTGGGTTTACGATGAACATAAAATTTTGCTCTATTGTCGGGGCAGAATTATGGGGTTTGTTCCAGGG